GGGGCGTCGGCCGCGCGGGGCGGGGCTCAGCGCCCAGGCACGGAGACCCCGGGGTCCGCATGCTCGGGCCGCCGTCGCTCGGTCCGACGGCAGGGGCTGCCCTGAGGGGCAGGCAGAGTTACGGGGTTCGGGGGCCCTGTCCCGGGAAGAATTGTTCACTCGTTTACTCATTTGCTTGGGGTGATTCTGTGGTACACCAGGCCACAAACGTGGCCGAACAGAACTGTCTCCTGTGAAACCAAAGTAGTCAGGCTGAATTTTAAGTGTACAAGTGTAACACGAGATTTCTGTAAACCTAAGAATTATGTTTAGGAAGAGTCAGGGGACTTGGAGAAGTTCCCATTATCATTTAAACTCAGGGAAAACTCAGGTTGAAGTACCACATAGGAAGTCTGATCCCAACTGTAGATGTAAATGCATAAAGGTATTTTTAAAAAATGCGCCAAAATATTGACAGTAGCTGAACCGGGCGTGGTGGCGCAAGCCTGTAATCCCAGCCAGCACTTGGGAGGCTGAAGCAGGAGGGTCACTGCGAGTTCGAGACCAACGTGGGCTACAAAGTGAGCTCAAAGCCAGCCTGAACTACATAGTGAGACCCTGTCTCAAAAAGACCAAAAAATAAAATATTTACAGTAGCTATGGTGATAGAATTACGGATTTTTGTTCTCTCAGATATTCTACAATGAGCATGTAAATATTTTATAACCTAGGGAAAAGTCTTAAAACTCATTGCTTTTTGAATTAGGAATCAAAAGAACTTTTATATTTCACAATAATATCTCTAAGATTAAGTTTAAAATTAAGAGTATTCTCTTGGCTTTTAAGGAATTGGTACCACCAGGTCAAGATTTCCTTGGATAAATGATGAATTACTATAAGTATACCTAAAATGACATTGGGACCCTTTAGGATAGAAGGAGTAACCGCTTCTGTTCAGGGATGGGGCGAACACTCTTGAACTATTTTTATGATGCAGTCCAGGGAGGCCTCCTGCTCCCTCCACCCCGCTTCTAACAAGGAAAGAGGCCCGTGGTGTGGTAAGCTAAGGCATCTCTTGGAATCTCACTCCGAAGGAGTGAGTCCATGTTCCCTTAACTTTGGTCAATAAATTCTTGGCTGTCCTTGACCTTTTCCACGCCCATATAAACGGGAATAGCTTGTCAGTTTTGGCCTAACTGGGCTTTTGATTGGGTTTGCCCTGCCTCTATGGGTCATTCGGAAGGAGCTGACAGATTTACAGTATCGAATCTTCCAATTCCTGGACATAATCTTTAATTTCTGTCAATAAGATCTTACAGCCCAGAGGTATCATGCATATTTTATTAGATTGATTTCCTAGAGTTTTTTTTATGCTATTGTCAATTGTACGTTTTAAAAAATTTATTTTCTTGCTTGTTTTATTAAAATAAAATAAATTTTGTATATAACATATATACCAAACTTGTTAAACTTACTTATTCTGATAATTTATCTCTGAATTATGTAAATTTTTCTCCATAGACAATTATACCATCCATGAACAATGACAATGTTATTTCTTCCTAATCTTTATACTTTTTATTTCTTTTTCTTAACTTATTGCACTGGCTAGGATTTAAAATACAAAAATAAGTGGCAACAGTTGGACTCCTTGTGTTGTGGTTTTGCAGCAGCAAGCAGAAACACTGAAATGACATCCAGGATTTGGAGGCAGATTTATTTACATCAATGGGCACTGATTGGGATCACTCCTAGAATATCAGGTCCTGATCCCTGGTGGTCTAGTGCTAATATGGGATAAGCAGGCAGGAAGCACAGAGGCAGAATGGCTTATCAGTTGATGACTGGTTTATACAATGTGTGTCATAATGACCAGCTGTGCATCACAGTAACCAGCCAATTCTAAGAGACAGGAACAACTGGAACTGAAACAGGATTATTACCTGGGCAACAGAGAAACTGAAGTGTACTGGCTGGGGAGGACATTTTCTGCTACAGTGGAGTTGCTGTCCCCGTGAAAAAGATACATCAACATCTCAAAGGGGCTGGGGATTTAGCTCAGCGGCAAAGCGCCTGCCTGGCAAGCACAAGGTCGTGAGTTCGGTTCCTGGTACCGGAGAAAAACCAAAAAAAAAAAAAAAACATCTCAAATCCCAGTGTGAGTCTACTGAGAAATAATCTTTATAGATGCAATCAAGTTAGGTGAAGTCACAGTGGAGTAGGGTGCACCTCCTCCTATCAGTTGGTGTCCTCTTAAAAGAGATGAGCCAAAGACGCACAGTGAGCATCTCGGGAAGCCAGAGGTAGAGACTGGAGGAGCGAGGCTGCCGGCCAAGGGACCCCAAGGACTGCTGTCAACCTCTAGGAGAAAGAAGGCAAGAAGGACCTGTCCTAGAACCCTCAGAGCAACCCTGTGGTGTTGAACCACGAGCCTCAGCAGCTGTGACTGCCCATTTCTGTTGGTTTGAGTGACCCAGCGTGGAGCACTTTGTTAGGGCAGCCCTAGCAAACTCACATGCCTTGCCTTTGTTCAAACCTGGAGAGGTTTATCAGTGGGTCTACTGAATTAATCATATGATTTTTCATTATTCTATTAGTGTGATAAATTGCATTAACTTTCAAATCGTAACCCAACCTTGCACTCCCGAATACATCTAGCATGCACAGGCCATATTACTTATTTCTAGGTGGGGTTTGCTAAAAAAATGTTTTTTAAATTAAGAAACAGCAAAAAGTGGGGAGGCGTTTTCCCTGGAGTTCAGGAAGAAACAGTACAGTGTGGTTTTCTAGTTCAGACCAGACTGATACCCTACATTCTGTTTTGGTGTGAGTGGGTAATTTGCTGGTTTTATTTTTCAGATATTGATATCTGAATTGATGAATACAACTAGAATGAAATTCTTCTTTCTTGGAATTTTCTGTCATTTTTTGTATCGGTCTTATTCTGGCCCCATACCTGGGCTGACAAATGGTAACCTTGTTCTTGTGGTTTGAAAGGATCTGTGTGAAGTTGCCATTTCTTGCTGGAGCATTTGTTAGAGGACACATAAGCCTGCAGTTTTCTTTGTTGTGAAGTTCTAAATTATATATTTAACTTTCTTATCTAGTTGAAGGAATGTTCAAGTTTTGTATTCTGCCAATTTTTACATGTCTGTTTCATTTACATTTTAAATGTATTTGTGTATGGTTGTATAACGTATCTTCTAGGAGTTTGTAGGTCAGCAGGACTTACGGTAATGTCTCCATTTTCCTTCTGCACATTGGCTCTTTGTGTCTTGCGTTCCTTGAACAACTCCACCATGGAAGCTGGTGAATACAATATATTTAATATTTATATTCTCAACTTTATTATACCGTTCTTCTTGGAGTTTACTGTTGGATCTCTGTCTTCCTGAGGTAGACTCTAAAGTCATCTATTTATCTTTAGATTCTTTTTTATACAACTGTATATGCAATTAAAACATGTTTCCCTTAATACAGCTATAGATGCTTCCTACAAGTATTTTCATTATTATATTTAAAAGTATTTTTCATTTTACATTTTTTGACCTATGTGTTATGTGTATATATATATATATATATATATATATATATATATATACTCCCTTATTTCTAAAACATGACTTAAAAAATCATTTTGTTAATGAGTCTAGCTTAGTCATATTGTAGTTAGAGGACATACTCTGTATACTTTTATGCTTTTATTCTTGCTTTGTCACATGGGATCTGAATGATTCTTTTTGATTTTGCCCTTGTTTAGGTCAATATTCTATACCCATATCCAGCAGAGCCAGGTTATCAGCTCTGTGTTCATAACTCTACCCCTGCTGATATTTTTATCTACTTGTTATAGCAGTTCCTGAGAGATATATATTTAAATACCTTTCATCATCACTATAGTTCATCTGCTTATCCTTGTGGATCTGTACATTTTTCTTTATATATTGAGACCACTTGAGTGAATATGAATCTAGAATTATCTTTTAATGAATTAAATATTTGTCATTGGCAATATCACTCTTTGCTTCTAGGAATGCTTTTTTTTAACTTTTAAGTTTGACATTAATAAAACATACCATCTTTCTTGTGATTACTGAATAGATAACTTTTTTATAATTCCACTTTTACTCTTTTATTTTCTGTTTTAATATATCTCATATAGTGGGCGGGGAGCGCCAGCCTTCGGGCTGGCTAGCTTTCTGCCTGCTGGCTCCCGGTGGGTGGGCCCCCAGCGCACGGG